CCTCATTGGAATGAACATGAACATTGAACAGCTATCTTAATCTTAATTTATTCAATTTCGCACCTCTACCATTGGTATAAATTAGTTTACTTTTCGCACTAATATTTTTTAACTTGAAAATGGTGCCAGGATGACACCGAAACGTCGTTGCTCAGTTTTTTCGCTAATCTTTATTGTTAACTGTAATTAATATAACTGTAAAAAAAGAATATCGATGTAAGTGTATCGTGGTTGGATATCCATCTCAAAGCTGTTATTACGTGTGCTGTAAAGGTCCATCAGCCCTGAAAAGAAGAAGCTCCCCATGCCTTCAATCACCTTGTCAAAATAACGGCCGATGCTACGATACCGCCAAGGGTTATCAGTGTCAGTGTCCTGAAGGTTAAAGTGGCAGACGATGTGAAAGTAAGCCTGCTTTTAAAATGCTGTTTTGGTTAGCTGAATACAAACCGGAAAATTCATGCTAAAATAGCTCTATATTAAGAGCTTGTAGAATTATAAAGCTTATACTCTACGTTTGTTTATTTTTTTTAGTTCATGATCTGAAATATAAATGCACCGATTCTGATCCAGAACAATGCCCACTTTGGGCAAAAAAGGGAGAGTGTCAAAACAATTCGAGATGGATGTTTAAAAACTGCAAAAAGAACTGCAAAGGTGAAGAGTGTGGTACGTCTATCTGTGGAAAGTCTAGCCTTAGTTATTTACAAGAATCGAGCGACGCAAACAAAACCCACCCTCAGCATGGATGGCTAAACTTACATATTAAATCTGGTTCTCATATTCCGCTGACCTACCTGCGGCGTAGACGCCGGTTGCAACTAACAACGTTCGGCGATCTGTTTCAGTGGGGCCCCGGCGCATCTTGCCATGGATCGTCGACGTACTCTAATTGGCGAGAAATGCAAATCGAATTGGCGCATTTTCAACCATTCCACCTGCAAATATTGATCGAATCGTCTAACTGGAGTACGTTGCGTCTGCAGATGATGTTCGCATAAAATATTTTCATCGCCGATAACTGCCCAACTTCGCAGGCAAGCCGGCGGTCAATGCCTGGGACAAATTATGATTCGGCGTTAGATGTTCACATATTCCGTGACGGCTTCCCAGGTATGTCGGTGGCCTATGAGAACCAGGCTTTAGCGGCCTACGTTCTAGACGTCTCGTACAGCTTGCTAAACGGTTAGCTAGACTACCGTGGTTTTATATTGTAAATAACTTTATATCAAGGCATGCGTTCAAAACAAGGCCCAACACTGCACGAGCTCTGCTTGCATCTCGGCTAGACTACCGTGGTTATATACTGTAAATACCTTTGTACTGTAAATACCATAGATCACAGATGACGTCAAAATGTAGTAAGAACAAAAACATGGCACACGTAGCCTGCGAACAAGCTCCCGTCGAGGACCAAAAAAATATTTGGCGAGCACTAAACAGAAGAATGAGCGAAGCGATCGGGGCGGGACAGGGGAGCCTCCCTCGCTTCGTTCGGGCTCACCGGGAGCCTGTTCGCAGGCTAAGCACACGAGGCGATAGCCCCTGATGTTTTTACCACATTTTGAAGTCTTCTGTGATCTATTGCTGATCAGACGTAGAGCAAACTATGGCGAGCTTTGCCGTAAAGGAGAACAATCATTGTATCGTTATTACCATAATGTTGATTTGCGCGCTAACTAATTTAAAGTGAAATTAGTCAAAATCAAAATAAAAGGTTAATGGCAATTAAACATCACATCGCAATATCAGTAACAACATTGTTTTTGGACTATATATTAATACTTGGCCTGTATTGCAAGTGATGCCACACTATAGAGCTAAACATCATATACTCTAATATACGTAACGAGTCCACTGTTAGTCCTCCGAACTGATTAAACTCTCATTATTATAGGAGAAAAAATCCATAAGACATCTGTAAAATTTAATGTCAGACTGTTTTATCCATTAAATCTACTATAAATAGTCCCACATAAACTATGAAATGTAGCGATGATACTCTAACGTTCTAAAGACAAGATGATCACGGCAAGTCAAGCTCCACATGAGGCATAGCGAGCATGGTGAGTTTAACATTTATTGCAGCTCTTTTTACACTGCTCCCTCATGAAATCTTGGTTCTTGCCGCACTCTCCAAGTTGCGCCCACCGTCCACACTTTACATGGTTGTTCCCGCAAGCTTTAAATAAACAAAATGAAAAAAAAATTCAGCTTATTCATATTGCAAGGTTTCTTGAAAATTTTTGAATTGCCGTTTGGAGCAAGGGCAGTTTTGTTAACCATCGCATGGTGACATTTTGTTACCTAGTACACAATGAAGAAGCTAGTTTAAAGGAGTAGTAACTGTCCTTTTATGTGGTAATTATATATATGAGTTTCAAATACCGAATAGCAAGACAGCTTATTACAATTTAGAACCCATAGTGGATCAATATCAAGGTAGTGTCTATATGATTTGGATGTACCTGAAACAATAAGGGTGTGTAAAAATGCTGAAACCCTTTCCATTTATATAATAACCCAAGTCATTCTCACATTTTGATTGGTTTTCGCCTATGATCTATTAGAGGACAGACGCACGATTGACGTCATCACTACAAAGTTTTTCCCTCTGTGTTTTAAAATGGCGGAAAGTTTTAAGAATTTAGATATACCTCTTACTAACCGAATTCGAGGTCCGTACTGTAAGTTACGGACCGAGTTTTTTCCCCTTCGATTTATGGCCCAAGCGCGAAGCGCGCGGGTCATAAATCGAAGGGGAAAAAACGATCGAGGATCCGTAACTTACAGTACGGACCGAGAAGACGAGGTTAGTAAGATATTTATCATATCTCTAGTGTGTGCCTGACGAGTTCGGAAACGATTTCTGTTCACGCGGACTCGGAATGGCTTCAAATTTCTGACGAGTCAGTTTGAAACCGTTTTTAAGTCGTTAGCACGCTTTATTACATAATTTAGAGTATAAGAAAGTTTTAAACTTTCACTTGCTATAAAAGTTAAGAACACTTATCGATAAATCACGAAACATTTCGGCAACAAAACCAACTTTAAATTTTAGCGGGCCGTACTGGAGAGTACGGCCCGCTAAATTGACCAATCACAGCGCTTCTACTAACTGAGAGATATAATAAAATATTTTACGTGACTGGGCAAAAGATAAGGTACAAAAAGTTCCTGTTGAGGCATTTAACAGGTACGAGAAGCAGGAATAAGAAAGATAAAGCCGTTTCTTTTTTGGAAAATGATTCAGGAAAAATACTCGGGCAGTCTCAGTCGACAGTCGAGCTAGACTAAACCAAGCACAAAATTGGTCTTGGTAAGCCGACAACCATTGCTTTATCTCGAATTTAACAAACGTAACGGACAAAATGTTTATGAGATTAATTTATTTAAAAAGTCAACTTTTTTTAGTCTCAAAATAGCTGTTGACACACTGATTGATGTCAGGAACGAAACATCAACACATCACTTCATCAAACCTGTTAAAATAAACACATAACCTTGCTTTCCGATGCGAATGCTCCAGTCCGTTTCGGGGCACAGTAGCAAGCAAAGTATAGCTCACTACAGCTCACGGCCAACTGTATCGCAGCTAGAAGGTGTCTCCGACACTATTTCAAACGGATTTGAGAATCACCAACCACAGAGGATACAAATTTCCAGCGTCACTAACGCTCCTTTCATTCAGAACTCGAATCGAATAGCCTCCAGATTGACCGCAACCGCAAGTTTTCCGAGCGTATTTTTTCAACTCCAGCAACATTCAATACAACGTCCAAGCTTTTTGGCTCATAGGAATGCTCTGATGACCAAAAATGACTTGACTTTTCCAGCATTTTCTTTAAGATTTGCAGATTTCGCAGTTCAATTTTGCTTTCGCTGTAAGTTTTCATTCCACGAGAAGTGACGGTCGAGTCAAGTTTGATAGTGACGTGATTTTCCTGGACCAATCACAGTTCTTTGCTACGCATAGCAACCAATGATATTGCTTCATTTTGTATAGACAATAGATTACGTCAAATGGCTTTTTTTGTGTTCGCCAAAGTGGGCAAACGCCGGCTTTCGAGTTATGTTGAAAGATTTTGAATTAAAAAAAGGCTTTATCTGTAATAGTTTGTTTCGTTATTATATAAAACAAATAGATTCCATGTTCCCGTGCGTCTGTTTAGTAACAGATCACAGAAGACGTCAAAGTGTAGTAAGAACATCAGTGACACACTCGGCTATCGCCTCGTGAGCCACTTTTTTGTTCTTACCACATTTTGACTTCATCTGTGATCTATTACTGAACAGACGCACGGCAACATGGAATCGATTTGTTACGCATACCGCAATGTTGCGGTGTCTTTATTCCTACATAGTCTTACAGTGGGCGTACATTGTTAGAGAATGCTTATATAAAATATTCCACTTGATACTTATCACAGCAGATCTGTATCCATTGTAAGGTTTGAAAAGAACGAAACTATCCGAGGGGCAATTTGCGGTATGTTTTCAGTCTAATCGTTATTACGCTTTGCTAAGACTCAGTAGGACTACTCCTCTCCTTTCAAGTTAGACCACTGATTACCGTAAACACCGGTGGAGAAGCCACAACTTTTTACTCAAATTGATCGTAACGAATCGAGGATGCATCGTATCTGTAAAAACATCAGGACAACGTGCCGAGCATTTGCAAAAATTAGCATTTGCAAAAATTAACATTTTCCATCGAAAATTTGTAGCTATGTATCGCAAACTAAAAAGGACTTCATAAAAAGTTACCATGGTAGGCGCTGATCATTGCTTTCCCAAGCTTGGTGGCTCCTAGAAGAGTCCTAAGCTTACATAAACTTTCATTTCTTGCTGTTAAATATCATTAACCTTCGTTATAAAATCCTTTATCCCTTTATCCATTCCGCCACAAAGCTATTTACAGTGTCGCTGTACTTCGATCAAATAGACTTTGTTTACGGTACTCTTACATTAAGTCAGTGAACAGGTACCGTAGCATGATGTGGACAACGAAAGTGAGGCAGGAGCCTATCGTTAATCTATTTTATATCCGCGATACTTGGGATTATGCTTGAAAAATTTAATTTCACGAGACCCTTGAACGAATGATCTTTAAAAAAAGAGCCATTAAATAAGAATGAAAACTCCCTCGGAATTAATTTAAAAAATCCTTACATTGTTGATGAAATTAAAATTCTCAATATACTTTTAGCAAAATGCGATGTTCCACATCTTTCCTTATTTAGACATGATGATAGAAGTGAATGCAGCCATAACACTACTGGAAAAATTGCTACTGAAATATGGCTACTTTTGGACATCTAATTACTACTCTTACTTACTTCCCCCCTTAATTTTGTGGCACTTTATCTGAAAATTGACAAAGTGACTGTATGTCAGTAATGCGGGCGAGGATTGTTACTCATGCTACACAAGAGAAGGAAAGGTGAAGGGTGAGAGAGGGACAGAAAAAAGGAAAGAAAGAAGCCAAATTTAGAAAATAAATATCTTGACTCTGCAGTACCTGGAAGAACACGAACTTACCACAAACATGGCAGCTTTTCTGACAGTTTTTCAACATCCAGTCCTTGTTCTTGATACATTCTCCTTTGCCTGCCCATTCGGGACACTTCAGCCAATTGTCCTTACAGACTGGAAAATAGAAGTGTGCCGTCAAAATAAATTTAATATTCGTGGCATAACTGATTATGAAAGATTTTTTTTCTTTTTCCCAAATAATTCTTTGTGTTCGTTACATTGGATGTGCAGAAGAAAAAATATCACCGAACACAACTTTAACAGGAAGTAATTATCAATTAGATTATCGCCTCAAGATTATTGTCTGAGATGAGAGCTGATGAAGTCTCAGGCCAAATCAACTATCACGTCATAGAATTCCAGAAAAATAACAAACTAGCGTTAATAATTGAGGAGACGAAAACAGCGATTTAATTTCTTTTTATTGAATGAGAAAACATACAATTTAATTTGTCTCCGACCACAAAGCGCCAAACCTGCAAACTGCGCACGCAAATTCATTCATTGAAAATCAGAGCAAGCTAGAAATATCGTTTACATGCATTTCTTTCCTTTTCCTGATTTAGCTTATTACAGTAATAAGTCTCTGAGGTCACAATAAACAGAGAAGAGGAAATTAGAGTTCAAAAATCCTCTGTATTTCCGAGAACTCTCATGTTAATCACTGATAGACTTGCCCAACCGACAAAGATTCTCATTAAAATACTATGTGGTTTCTAATACGCATGATCTTTTTAGTGATGAATCACGACAGAGTTATAAGCAAATGGGATGAAATTCGCAGCTTAGGCTTCAAATCATGATATTCCGATCATAGAGCAGTTTCCCTACTCTCCGACCCCACCGTTCTGCTGTAAAGTTACTGCGTTGGTTTCTTGAGAGAGGGACTGACAAGCTCACTGAAGTCTTTCAGAGCCTATATTAGCCAGCTTGCTCAGGCTTCCTGTTAGACCTTCACAGCTACCGTAGCTGCCCCGGGACATCAGCCCCACTGTACTTCCACTCGGACAGGCAATCACATACTCCACTGATGCCCCAACATCCCACGAACGAGGACACAGTTAATGGATGAAGTTTGGAAAGTGAATGCGCACATAAACAAAGCAAGGTATGTATTTGCCTCACTCAAACCCTTTTGGTACTCTAGAAAGCTAAGATCTACCGAAAAACCAAACTGAGGTTATTGTTAAGGTATATACCTTACGTATGGATCAGGTGGAATGCTGAAAAATAGGACAGGAAATAGCTTAGAAGATTGAGGGGTTTTTTTTTGCAAGTTACGGTGAGTTTATTACCACAGATTCCGCAGCTCAGAGCACAATTCGTGGACATATAGGATGGATTCCTCGAACACTGGCCGTTCTTCTTCCAAATCGGACACTGTAATTCGTCGTTATCCTTGCACATCGGTGGTTCTGTGTTAAAGAAAGATGAAGAGATCACAATACGTTCGACAACTGTTCTCAGCCAATCAGGGCAAATATAGAGCGTCGAAAATAAAGCGATTGGTTTAGCATCAAAGACGCTACACGATTGGCTTAAAAGACTCGCGCCACTTTTTCATCCAATCAGAAGTAAAACCAAAACCAGTCATGATTCACTCACACACGCTTTCCCGCGCTCCGTGTCAACTACCTGTAATTACTTCGAGTTTTGATTGGTTGACTAGATTGTCTGTCTTCTTTGAGATTGGGCAGAGTGATAATCTCGGTTTTGGTGTTAAGACACTCAATCGAAAACCGCTCTATTACATTTTGAGACAATAAATGTCAACGCCAACGACAAGTATCATGATTAATCAATCAATGGCGTTGGTTTATGTTTTTAAAGCGTTCAATTCCATTAAATTTTCCCACATTTTACTTTTGAAATCCTAAGCCCTCTAGTTGCCTGTTTCTTGGTTTTACGTATTACGACAGTTCAGTATATAGTGTTTTCACATGACGTTACGGTAGTCATATTGGTGTCCCAAAACAATGAAACGTTGGCATGTTGGTGTATCAAACCAATCCTGTGGGAATCAAACTCTTTTCTTATGTAAACACTTTGCTAGCCACGTGAATAAAGTCTCTCTATTAGGAAACTAATGGAGCCATTGTTATTAGTTATGTATACTTCGAATCAAATCATAAAATATAATTACTTAACTTAGCTCAGTACATAGAATACAATATAGATAGATTACATTAAAGATGAATAAAAATAACTATGAATTATTAGTTAGTAAGTAAGGATAATGCGCTCTTCACTTTTGACTCTTCTGTCATGCGCTTCATGTTCTCTGCTCGTTAAGGAAAGGCAGGGCGGCCACGTCGACGTTTTTCCTTTTTTATCACATTGGTGAGAG